TATATATAAAAATATAAAAATAAAATAAAAAAGTCCAAAAAAGGTTTGTCTGTATGTGTGATATGGCCTCTGTAGCCATCAGTAGTGATGTATATCAACATCACGTTTAGTCAGTGCTGATGGCCAGTTCTGTTGGAGGCCTTTCACTAACCTTATTTCTGTGGCTGTCTAGAAAGTTTAGAAGTATACCTTTGGTGCTCATGGTGTGTTCAGTAAAATGGTCAGTTTTAGTTTCTAATGTAAGAATTTGTGAATGGCATTGGATTTCTCGTGTTTTGTTGAAAGTTTGATGAAGTTTATGATGTTTTTTTAAAAATGTTAAACAGCATTCAGAATGAGGACAGATGTACCAACCTAAAAAGATTTTTTTTTTAAAAAACCAAGTAGTTGATTTTAAATAAACATTCCAAGGAACTACAGGGTCTAAAAAAGCAACAATATTAACAGCAAATATTCATTATTATAGAAGACAAGAATCTTTGACCCTTTGGTCAAGCCTGGACAGTTAACACATTATTCAGCACATGTCCTCGCAGATTCTAAATTGTGGAAATTGTGTAAATGTGTAAGAATAATTTTAGAATTTTCTTAATAACTGTTAGCACTGATGTTGGAGGCTATGTCGGAGTGGATAGTTCCTGGTCCCAGGTCAGTTAACATCAGGAAGGGTTAATCCATGTTAAAATATAAAATTACTTTGTGGACCACTAGCAACCCCTAAAACATGAACAACAAAGTGTGAGCACTAATTATCAGTAACAAGCAAGTCACCAATTTACACCATGGTCCAGATTTCAGAAGTTTGCAGTCCAACATGTAGGTGAAGGACTAAGGTTAAAGGATGAGTATAAATTAACTGTAGATAAGTGCAGATAGTTCATTGTCTCTACATATGTCCTGGTGTGTTTAGGGTGATGTTGTAACATTTTGACTTTATTTCCGACCACACTTCTTCAGAAAGACAAAGACAGAAAGACATGTTTTAATAACTCCTGATCTTGGCATCCTTTTTAAGAGATTTCTTGCATTACCAAACAACACCACTAGAGTGCAGTGATGAGCTGTGCAGTATACACGTTCAACATCCATTTTAAGAAAGATGTAAAAACATTTTTATCCCAGTGAATTTCTGCCGTTCTGTATAACCTCACTGCAAAATGCATCTTGATGTTTACTGAGTGAGATATTTGTCAGACTTACGTTCAACCTTGACTGAACGTCTCTACCATGGGTACTGTGAACAGAGAAACAGCAAATAAGCACAGACCTGTTGCCAGCTGAATACCATATAAATACAGCACATATATACTCCAATAGTGGGAATTTGATACATGACAATATGATCAATAACAAATCTTTAGCTTCGTGTTTAGCTAACATCTGTTGTTTTGTGTAGCGTAAGGATCTGTTTTTACAGCAAATTGTTTCTATTTGAAGGTAAAATACTATGAATAACTGTTTCTGTGATTAACCGGCTTTTCTTTCTTCTATGAAGCTGCACTGGATTCTGTCACCAGTGCCTAATGTGATTTCATAACAACTATAATTATACACTGAATTTCTTTTTTTCTTTTGATTTATTTTTTCTTTTAGCAAATAAATCAACGTTGCATTTCCTTAACAATGTCACAGTTGTGATCAAAGTGTTTTCCAATAATGATCTCTTCTGTGCTGGCCCACATGCTGTGAATGCTCCTGTTGCTCAGGCAGCAGTGTGTTTGGGTTTTCCCTGCATTCAGTGGTTTACCTTTGTGGTTTGTGGCTTACTTTAATTTGACTAAAGGTGTGAATGATTCTGTTTTTCTCTATATACCTGGATTGGAGAACTGTCCAGGGTGTTTTCTGCCTTTGGCCAATGAAAGCTGGGTCTAGCTTTTGCTTTGATTTTTAATGATAAAGAGTAACGGTTTCCTGGCTTGATGAATGAATGGATGGATGGTGGCACTCTTACGGTCTTCTCTTTGGCAGTGGAATTATTTCTTTACGAGATGTGGGTTCTTAGAAGGGAGGATGTTTATTAGTGTGTGAGTGTTCATCCCATGGAGGAGTCGGAGATATGGTGACTTACATACGGTGAAATAATCCCATAGACCACTAGGTTATTATTCGCATTATGATTTGAACGTTATGTACAATATGACGGCAGTGTCGTATGAGGAGAGAAGTCACATCACTTCTTTAACTTTAACCCATCTCTGCCCCCCACACTCCCACCCCCGCCTTCCTACTAATGCAGCATTCTCAACAAAACGGTTGCCACTAGATACTGCTGGGCTTGTCACCATGGCAGCCAATTCTTAATCATTTTCTCTCTGCCACGTTTCTAAGTGCACACATTTAGCTGTAACGTGGGCGGCCTGTCCTTGAGTCCATCAGCGAACCCACATTCGGCACGGAACAAGTCCACCTGTGAACAGAACGCTGCGACAGGAGCACAGAGGGAGCTGGGTTTCATAACAGTCTCACACAACACCATGCGCTAAGGCCGGCGTGTGATCAGGTCCTGTTACATTATTTTGGGTGTCATCACACATCCCATGGCTTTCGTGTGTGTGTATAATTGTGTGTGTGTGTGTGCATGAAAGCTTTTCTAACACAATTAAAAAACACACACACAGCAGAGGGACTGACCTGCTTCACTCTTCATTAACATTAACGAGGATTAGACTAAGCAGTAGCCGTTGAATCAATTCATGAGTCACAGCAGTTCCAGTGAGCGTCTATATAAATAAATAAACACATTGACTAAACTATTGTTATATTTCATGCTACCGTAGCATCATACAAGAGGCTCTGTTTCAGACATGCCGCACAGAGGGAGAGTGGTAATGAGAGAGAAATTTGACACCAGACATGAGTTGAATTTTCAAATCCTCCATAGATGTTCCCAGCAGCAAACGTCAGATTCTGGAAAATGAAATAAATAAATAATAAAAAATAAAGGTGAGTCAGAGAGAGCTGGGGAGGGAGAGAGAGAAGGAGGGAGGCACATGAACAAGTGATGAGTTAGACACAGCAGAGCTGGATTTCTTCCTCCAATAAAAGCAGCTAACACCTCTCCTCCTCCCCCTTCCAATCTCGCAGTGTTGCTATGGCAATTTCCCCTCGCTCCCTTCCTTTCAGTGAGCCTCCACTTTATCCTTGGAGCCTTTCATTCGGCAGAGCATTTGGCTGTGTGAGCTTTTGTGTGGGAGCTTTTAAATGACTTAAGCTAATGAAGGAGAAAGCCATAAGAGACTGCTTAACAGACACAGGGGCAGACGTGTACTGTATATTCACACACACACACACATTGATATTTCAAAAGAGAATTATCTCCATTTTCATCACGACATTAAATCCAGTTAAATGTCCCAACTTTCGACAAAGTTCTTGTTCACCTTGTTGCCCCCTGGTTGTTACTGATTATCCCCATGACACTTTTAAAATTGTGGTGTAACTGATGAGTGCCACCACCTGTCTATTTGCAGTGGACTTACATCACTATGCTGGTCCAAGCATTGAAAAGTGTGAGTATGTAATCAACTGCCACTTTTGTGTACTTGTACTTTTCAAAGTATATATTAAACACTTATATCACATCAATGTGTAAATAAAAAAAATTAATTAAAAAAGGATCAGATTCTGGAGCGAAGGCTGAGGCGTTTTACAGGATCCAGAAAGACGACGACAGTGGATAAACACAATTAAACGAGCCAGAAGCAATCAGGAAAAAAGTTTCAGTGGGACCCCCACAGACGACGGCTTCCACTTATCCAGCGTTGACTTTATATCAGGTACAGAATCTAATGTTTCCTGTTTTCTTTAATGTCTTGTTTATGTTATTTTGATTATGCTTTTTAACAGGACTGCTACCCATTTAAAGTAAGTAAGTACACATATATTGTCACAAATCAACATCGTATTGGCTGTAAACTGTGACTAAAGACTTGTTTCACCCACAAAGACTAATTACTATTAAATACTGTGGAGAGAAACTGTTCAGGGTCTCAGCGTTTCACTCTGCGTGTATTGACCAGAGGCAGTTCTGCCATCGACTCACTTCACTCTACACAAACACTCCATTTGTCAAACTTTGCTACATGCTAAAATAAAAGTATTTATGTTGCTGCCATTATTATTTGAACCAAAGCACTTCAGAATGTCTCATTCTTCAACAAATGAAAAATAAGTCTTTATTTCACCACTTTGGATTTGTTTACAGCAACCAGGCCAGCACCTGGCAATGAATACTGTCGTTGAAATGTTTTAGTCACTGTTAAATTTGTAAAATCACCAATGTCTTTGTTCTCCACAGGTGTAACTGGACAAAGTCTATGTCTGCCCCATAACCACTCATGTGACCCACATGTTGGAAACCATCTTACAGAGCCATTCTCAGACTAACGGTAAGAAGCTAAAATAATACACACAGAAGCACTTCATTTCTGTAATTTGCACAGGAATGTCATTAACTTCTCATCAAAGGTGCTGCAAAATATAATGAAAAGTGTTTCGTGGTCAGATGAATCCTGGTTCTCACAAAATGTTTAGATATTAGATTTTACAAACATAAATGATCTTCAAACTATGTTTTACAAAGTGTTGACCTTTCACACTGTGGTTAAATGTCCAGGTGAGAAAAAATATAATGAGGTCTTGATTTATTAATCAAATTATGCTAATATTGAAAAGTACCATACAAAGTTATCGGCTTCCTATCTGCTAGCTTTGAAGTTCTTTTAGCACCTCTAGATGTGTTTTTATCGCCCTCTGAGTGCACGGAGGAGTAAATGTAGCCCAGGTGGAACATTTACAACTTGTGGTTCTTTTTATACAGACATTAAAGAAACATTTCTGTAGAATAGCTATTAGTTGTGCAAACTCTACAATCGGTAGTTTAATAAAATAAAACCCATTATCCCGCAGAAAGTGTGGAACCATTCTGTTCTTCCTCCTGTATAGTGTTGGACTTGAATCTATTTCATTTGCTGTGGTTTGGTTTGTCGCCACTTCCCGCCAGTTGCACCTTTTCTAGAATAAATCATATTTATGTAAAAATAAATAACTACCCCTGTCAATGTCACATGTCATAAGACATTCTCTCGAATCTCAAAACAGCTGCTAGTTATTGTAGTTTTCATGGACAATCTATCAACTTAAAAACGCAGCTTGTAATGATAAGATGTAACTAATTGCTTGTCTTTGTTAAATGTTTAATTTAGCTCTTTAATCTGCAGATAATGTTACAGACTCCGACATCTCACCATGCCGACAATTGCAACACATATAATGCAGGTGGTTTCGTTTTGGCTCTTGATGCTGGAAAAGTGAACGAGTGAGAGAGTGAGGCAGGGAGTAGGAAGAGGGTAGGAGAGATGAGAAGGACAAGCTCTGCTGCAGAACACACCTCATCTCCTCTTTAGCTGGAGGGAGAAAGGAAGAGAGAGAGAGACAGAGAGAGAGAGGTTCTGTCTCTGTCAGTTCTTTCCTCATTTACAGAAAATAGGAGAGCCAGGAAAGTGATATTTTAGGAAAATTTAAGGGATTCGCAAACAGATGATTGGGACGGAGTGGAAGGAAAAAGCATCTCTGCACGTGAAGCATCTGTAAAGACAACTGACAACAAATGAGAAGGCAGGACATGACTCAGAGATGTGGTGTGAGCTCCTTGTTTGGTAAGAAAAATCTTTCAAGATGCCAAAATACACATGCCAACGTACCCATACACACACACAGACAGACACACACACACACACAGTGATCAAAATGACAGATGCAGGTTCTTGCGCAGCTTCTTGTTTTAATGTTGTAATTGTCTCTGCGTGCACCTCCTGTTTCTCTGGCTGACATCCCACTCTGTGTGTCTGTGAATCCTCCGCGTCTTTCTTTCTCACCCTGTTGCAGTCTCTCTCTGTTGCGTAGCAGCACAGCTAAAGCCAATCTGAGGTGAAGGGCTATTTCATGAAAACATTTATGTCCACTTCATACTGTGTTAGTGTTTCGTCTTCAGGCCATTACTGTAAGAGCAGACCTTAAAGATGTTTATTCTGGTTCTTCACGGTCCATGGTTTCATTAGATTGTCCTAAATGCAGATGAAGGACAGACATTTTTACTTTATTTCTACAGGAGCAATACATGTATTTTGTTCAATGCCATTTTAACTCATTACTTGGCAATAGACTTGGCAAAGAGCAACTGAACAGTTCCAAATAGAATCCATTCATTTCTAATTACCATTGTAAACTGTTAAAATAAGATTTTTAATTTTAATTTTATGAAAAAATGTATTCTCAACAATGTTGAAACTGTCCACAATATTCAAGAAATTGAGAACGGTAGTTGATAAGTCACTAATGACTTAGAAATGAGAAAAATAGTTCTTATGTCAGGCTTCTCTGTAAAGCAGTCCAGAGTAAAGGTTAAAGTTCTGTGAGGCTAAAAATCTGTTTTTACATAGGGGAGAGAACAAGACATTAGGACATGTTTCAGTTCTTGAATGGCCTCTCCTCAGTACCTGCAGACATCAAGTGCACAGGTTCATGATTATATACTGTATTGACACGATAATCAGTGTCCTTAAATAAGTCAGAGACTCTACATGGTGGTTCTTAATAGATAAACTGAACCTCAGGGAGGAAAAGAAAGTAGAAAATGGTTTTAGGTTTGCAGCTTCAACGTTGTTTTTCTTCAGTCGAGTACCTGCTGCTCCACCAAATGATGTGCAGATCGAACCAAAACAAATTTCAAACTAACTCTCTCAACACCAAGATGGAGTGAGGATAGATTTGTTTCCATAGCAACAATGTATTAAAGCTGGCATGTCTGTGCACAATGGGTATTTTCATTGAACAGCATGTGAGAGTCATTACGCTGCATGTTATCTGTTCCTGGTTTTTTGTACTTTTCAAAAATAATTATAACTCTCTTGCTGCCAATGGACAGAGGACTGTCACTTTCAGTACAGCAACAGCAAATGAATGCAACTCTGAGCTACATGGTAGCTATTAACATGTCTTCTGTGATAGCAGTCAGAGGATAAATATTAGGTGATATGAAATTCGCCTCATTTGTATGCATGTCATCATCAAGACCGGTTTTGAATTCCATTCACCAGACAGTATCTCTCTCACTGCAGAATTTGTTTCCTTTGAAATGGTCTGTATGTGACTAATACCACCTATTTATATAATGAGAGTTAAAATTTAGTTATATGAAATAGAACCTTTGAGTTCATCTCCTTTATCATCACCACTATTTCAGTCAGTGTTGAACTGTAGGAGAATCAGAAACGGACAATAAAGGTCAAGAACCAGTGTGCAGTTTATGGTACAGTATAATCATACCAGTTTATTTAGGCACAACTTCTAGTCACAAACTGGGCCTCTGACCTGAAGTTGAACCTCTCCACAAACGCATGCAGAGAGTTGAGATGGCATTTAAGCTGGAGGTTCTTGAGGGAAACAAAAACTCTTTCCTGTAGTGTGTGTACATAACACTGTGCGTTTCCAGCATGTATTAGAGCAACCATAAGTAGGCGGTGGAATTATTTGATGTGCAGTACACATCATTTTAGCCATCAGTTAAAACGTATCAAAAGTTTTAAACCTGATTTTGTTTTTCTTTTCATTTTGACAGCCCTAGTGAAAACACATTCCTATAATTGGCCTACACTCAGTGACGTTTCTTCCCAGATCATTTTGACATTATAATTTGTCTTAAATGATAACAGGTCTAAATAGCTTTCTCTCCTGATCTGAGAAAGAAGTGCTTTAAATTTACGAGATGTGTCTTTCATTCGCCATTAACTTCCTAATTGACAAGCCTCCCACATTGTTACTTTTGTTTGCCTTTTTTTAGTTCTATTATGGGTTTCTTTTTAGTGTGTTGATGCCATCACTTGGTTCAACCAGAGGTTCGGCTGTACTGCACTGACAAAGACCAATGTACTGTGAACATGCTTCAGGTCTAAATGATTTTCTTCTGCCCTTTTGGTTCTTCTCTAAAGTTCTGTTTCATTTTTATCTTTTTTTATCTGACAGAACTCAGCTACCACGCTGTGAGCCCTTCACCTGGTGCCAGGATGTGAGATCGATGGTGTGACAACAAAGGCCATCACTGTGCTAAAACCAGCATGTGTCCAGTGTCCACTGCAGTTAAAGTACCACTGAAAAAAACATCATTGGCTTACTGAGGTCACAACACACTTTTGTTATCAGCACTTAAAACCTGTATAACACACTTTCGGTAGTATTGTTTCTTTTTACTTGGCTGTGACCACCTACCCTCGCAGGACTTAACAGACCTTCTGGACATTAATGATTCTTCTAACTCCCTCCTAAAATCTTTCTCACCCTGTGTGAATCAGCTCCTGTCACCTGGGAGGATTATGAAGCCGTCTTCAGTGTTTTTAAGGTCTCACTGCTTTCTGTGTGTGTTTGTTGGAGTTTGTGTGCCCAGCGTCACGGGCTCACTACCTCATGCCCTCCCATGGCATGTCTCCTGCCCAGTGCGGTGTGTGTGCCAGATCAAGCCATGGTTCTCCCCTGACTCAGTGTATCACGAAGCTCCTACTGTGGAGTGCAACAACCTACTGTTGACCAGGCTTCCCGTACCCTTACCCTCTAACACACACACCCTGCGTCTGCAGAGTAACCTCCTGTCCAAGATCGACAGCAAGGTGCTGCACAGACTTCCCAACCTGACTGACCTTGACCTTTCTCAGAACCACTTCAGCCATGTCAAGTCGGTAACTGAGAGCTCTTTGTTGCCCTCCCTGCTGTCTCTTCACCTGGAGGAGAACCATCTCAGTCACCTTCCCGACTCCTCTTTCTCCTCTCTGCTAGCTTTGCAGGAGCTCTTTCTCAGCCATAACAATTTACACTCAATTGCTCCCGGAGCTTTCACTGGTCTGGACTCTCTTCTCCGCCTTCACATCAACAACAACAGGCTCACCACCATTGACTCACAGTGGTTCAGAGCTTTGCCCCGTTTAGAGGTTCTCATGCTTGGTGGAAATCCAATTGAGGCTCTACCTGAGAACAGCTTCTCAGCTCTGAAGTCCCTGCGTAGTCTTGTTCTTGGGGGTATGGGTCTGAGGGGATTGGCTGAAAGAGCACTGGAAGGATTGGATGGTCTGGAGAGCCTCTCCTTTTATAACAACCAATTAACAAAGGTCCCCACAAAGGCCCTCAGAAGAGTGTCAGGACTGAAGTTCCTTGACCTCAATAAAAATCATATCAAAATGATTGAAACGGGAGACTTCAGGGACATGACTCACCTGAAGGAGCTTGGTCTAAACAACATGGAGCAGCTGGTGTCTGTTGAGAAAGGTGCCCTGGAGAATCTACCAGAGCTCACCAAGCTGGAGATCACCAATAATCCACGTTTGTCCTACATTCATCCTCAGGCTTTCCTTCAGCTCAACAGGTTAGAGAGCCTTATGCTTAACTCCAACTCTCTGAGTTCTCTGCACCAACATATCATGGTGTCTCTCCCCAGTCTTCAGGAAATCAGCTTACACTCCAACCCACTCCAGTGTGACTGCCTGTTTCATTGGGCGGCTAAGGCGGCCTCTCACTCTCACAAAGACAAAGACAAGCAAACCGACAAACAACTTTCACGTACGGTTCGATTTATCCAACCACAGGCCACTTTGTGCTCTGAACCACCAGAGCTCCGATCTCGGAAGATAAGGGACGTGTCGGCGAGGGAAATGTCGGCTACTTGCCTTCCCATGATTCCCACTGGCTCCCTCCCATCTTTTGTAGGAATAAGAGCCGGAGGTAATCTGGTTTTACACTGTCGAGGTCTCGCTGAACCACAGCCCAGCATGTACTGGGTAACTCCCTCTGGGCTCCAACTTGGTCCTGCTCCCAGCCATGGAAGCAAAGGTTTGGTAGGTCCTTTATCCTGTCACAGTCTGACAGACACAGCGGGATTCAACCACACAACCTTCTCTAGACAGACGCAGGAAGATCCTCGCTGCATCCCCTTCAACCACTACCGTTTACTACCTGAAGGGACTCTAGAGATCAGCCAGATTGCTCCCAGTGAGGCAGGACTGTATACCTGTATTGCTGAAAATGCACTTGGAGCAGACACACACAGTGTCACGGTGGTTGTCCACAGCAGAGAGAAGAAAAGAAAAGCCATGTTGTATTCTAACCTGAAGGGAACACCTTTATACAGCATGGATCCCAGGTTCGAGGTGAGGGAAGTTGGACAATACTATGCGATCCTGTCCTGGCAGAGTGCACGGAACCTCCCATCAACACGCCTCTCCTGGCAAGCCATCTACTCAAATGCCCACACTCCTGTGTATACCACACGTGTCCTGGCTGGTACACAGAGTTTCAACCTTACCCACCTGCAAGCGGAAACGTTTTACAGAGTGTGTCTACATCTAGGGAATACAGAGGACGCCAAGCGTTACAGCAGGCGATCAAAGGAGAACAGGAAGTCTCAGTGTGTCTCATTTAAGACAAAGGTTGTCCCACAGCCTCAGCCTAACCTGCAGCTCAGTCCAGAGTTGGCTACCACTGCAGTTACACTTCTTCTGTTCTGTATTATACTGTTGCTGTTGTCCACCCAGGGTCGTGACAGTCCAATCAACCCTGGGGATGGAAAGTTCCACCGTACCGTCTTTCAGAAGATAAAACGCCCCGAAGCTGTGATCATGAATCTCGGCACTAAAGACAGCAGTGGACTCCAGCCAAAGCAAGATGAAAAACTACTGTCAGGCGAGTACTGCTAAAAGAAAAAAAACTTGACTGAAATTTACATTAATCTTGACCTTGAATACCTGATGCTAAGGAGCAGGAAAAAAAACACTTTGTAAAGAATTAAAAAAAAACAATGAATCTGGTTTAAAACATGGTGTAGATAGAGATTTGTATTTATTTTATATACAGTATATAGTATATATTGTCATTGTTCCTGTGTAAAGATAAATTGTACAGAATAGCTAAACCCCAACCAGGGAATGAAAGTGGACAATCATATTTCCTGCTGCACAGAGACTGAGCCACTGAGACTGAGAAGTCTTCATTACATCTGAGGACAGATATTTACAGAGATCAGCTCAGACCTCATGGCTGTTTCTAATGTTTGCTGTTCATATGTTCCTCATAATGGACCGCAATGCCTTCTAGCTGATGCTACTTAGCTTTGAGACAGACACTGAATGAAAACGCGTGTTTGGACTGTGTAAGTCATTGTGATTGGTGTCAACAGTCTGTTTGCTTAGCTCCCATTACACTGAACTGGGCTTTCTCTCCTACTTCACACATCTATACAGTACATTTATTTAGAATCATCTCCTAACATTACACATCTTATTTCAGCATTAAGGCACTGGTCAGTAAGTTATTGTGTTAAATTATATTTTGAAAATATTAAACGATTAATAAACATTTTAATATGTACTTACTGTTTGTTTGGGTTTGTAATAGCCTGAGTTGATGCAATACTAAATTAATAAATGAACATAATTAGCACGAAATATCTTCAACAAAACTACAGGTCTTGCTGTAATGGAAAACTGTGACCTGTTTAAACGAGATCCTGCATAAACACGATTACAGATGGCGCTGATCCACAGTAGATAACAGAACATTGAAAGAAATGGATTGAACAATAACCACTGTATCCTGGAAACATCAGACACAGTGTGTCCCCTGGTGGACAAAAGCTGTAACTGAGCAGAGGCTTCCGTTAAGGAGCCAGACAGCATTGTTTTGCCAGTACATCAGTACTACGTTAAACCTGTAATCAGTACCTAAATCAGTAATGCATTTATTAGTCTACACAAATATTTAAACTGTAATAGAATTTAAAGATGTAATTATTGATTTTTAAGTTTATTTAGATTTGGCAGCTAAATAAACAAAGTGATCACTTGAATATTTGAATATAGATTTGTTTATAAGGTATAAAGTTATATATATACAAGTATATATTTTTTTTACAAATTCAGAAATTAGCATTAGCATTTTACTTTTACTCAAGTACATGTTTACTCGAGTATTTTACTTCGCAACATCTGAAAATAACCCGTTACAGAGTACTTTTAACTGTGTAGAATTTAATCAAAAGAAAGATACTTTTACTTAATTAAATTGTCTGGTACTTTTTCCACCTTTTGGTTAGGTGATGAAGAATAAAAAAAAATCCTTATTTACCATGACATTTTAGGTCAAATGTATAAAATATATAATTAAACATTTTTCAACAAAAAAATTGTCAGATCAAGATCAGTTAAAAGATTTGGATGAAAATCTTTGAAAGAAAAATCAAAATTTTATCTTTTTTGCATGTTTCTCATCAAAATATATTTCAAAACTTTGAGAAAATTGTTTGTTTTTTTTGAAAAATCTTTAGAAAAACATTTTTTGGCCAGATGTTGAAAATTTTTGATGAAAATCAAAAAAGAAATTTCTAAATTTTATATTTTCTGAATGTTTCTAATCAATATATAGCGTTTTGAAAAATCTTTAGAAAGAAAATTGTTCTTAAAAAACTTAGAAATAAATTTGGTCAGATGTTAAAATTTTTTAATTACAATCTGTGAAAAAACGTTTTTCAAAATTTTGTCTTTTCTGCATGTTTTTCATAAAAATATAGCATTGTGAAAATATAGAAAAATTTAAAACTTTTAGAATTTTTTTTTTAATTTTTAAGAAAGAAATGTTCTTTTAGAATTAGAAATAAAATATTTTTGAAAAATATTTTGAAAAAATTTTTTGTCAGATGTTGAAAAAGTTTTAAAAACTTTTTCTACAATTTTTTTAAAAAAATATTTTTTTGAAAAGTTTTTATTAAAAAAATTTGAAATTTCTTTGGAAAAAATGCTTGAAGGTTCTTTAGAAAAAAAAATGTTTTGAAAACTTTTTAGAATTTCTTTTTTATTTTTTTTAATTTTTAGACAAAAGAAATTTGGTCAGATGTTAAGGAATTTTACGGAGCCCCTAAAGGGACATGGGGAGAAAAAAAGAAAGAAAAGTATCTCGTGTGTACGAGAAACTATCTCGTGAGCACGAGAAATCTAAGATACTGGCATGTCATGTGTGACAGAGTATGTAGGCCACTGTATATATGGTGAGCATTTAATTAATGTAGGGTACCTCAGTTAGACACAGGAGGGCACTGTTGATAACAGTGAAGGGAGGTTCATGACTATCTCATGCACACGAGAAACTATCTCGTGAGCACAAGAAAGTATCTCGTGAGCACGAGATACGTTTATTTTTTTTGTTTTGTTTGTTGTTTTTTTGTTTTCCCATGTCCCTTTAGGGGCTCCGTATTTTCGTTCATGTTTTCTGATAAAATTAGAGAACACTTTTTAAAATTTTTGTTGTATGAACTTTTGTGTCAAAATGTAAATTTTTGTGATTTTTGGTCAAAAACTAAAATATTTTGACAATTATTTTGAATTATTATTATTATTTATTATTATTTGGATTTTTTCACAATGGTAAGGCATGTTTTTGGTGATTTTTGAAAAATTCATATAAAATATTTTTGGAGGTTTAAACAAAATATTCACTTGACAGCATGGTTTATGACATTCTTGCATTTTAGGGCATTTCTGGGACTTTTTATTTTTTGGGAGTTACTATACCATTAATTTAAAAAATACTAAAAACAAACTAATTTGCCTTAAAATACTTAGCTATGTCCATTTCTGTTGTTAAAATTCAGAAAAAATAGACTTTTTTGGCATGCCAACTTTTGATGACAGTAAAACACTATACCATTAATTTCCCTAACAAGTCTCCGAAAAAAAAAGTTTCTCAAAAATGACTAAAAATGCACTCATTTGCCTTAAAATACTTAGCTGTGTCCATTTATGTTGTTAAAATTCAGAAAAAATAGACTTTTTTGGCATGCCAACTTTTGATGACAGTAAAACACTATACCATTAATTTCCCTAACAAGTCTCCGAAAAAAAAAGTTTCTCAAAAATGACTAAAAATACACTCATTTACCTTAAAATACTTAGCTATGTCCATTTCTGTTGTTAAAATTCAGAAAAAATAGACTTTTTTGGTATGCCAACTTTTGATGACAGTGAAACACTATACCATTAATTTCCCGGACAAATCTCCGAAAAAAAAGTTTCTCAAAAATGACTAAAAATGCACTCATTTGCCTTAAAATACTTCTCTATGTCCATTTCTGTTGTTAGAATTCAGAAAAAATAGACTTTTTTGGTATGCCAACTTTTGATGACAGTAAAACACTATACCATTAATTTCCCTAACAAGTCTCCGAAAAAAAAAGTTTATTAAAAATGACTAAAAATACACTCATT